TTTTTGCTTAAAAGTTTCTTGACAAGTTAAAATTAATAGTTACTGAAAACTTTTAGGGGGGGGCGGATTTCCCTCATTTCCCCCCAGTGGATCCGCACACGAAAGAATATAATATACTATTTACGAATTAAGATTTTCTTACATATATACTATAAAGGTAAAGTTAAGTTTGCAACTGCAGGAGTTGAAGCCACGAAACTGATTGAGGAGAATAAAGAACTATTCAAGAGCACATGTATTACTAATTCCATGGCGCGCAGAAATTGAAAGATAACTATGCGGCCTTTGGTCATGTGAGAGGTATATATGGTTCCGTTAGAAGCTCAGGAATTCGGGAACAATAAAAAAAAAAGATGGAAAAATTTCAATTTTGACTTCAAATACAAACATCTGATTATGTTATTCCGTCTATTTTCATAAGGCGCCTGCCTACTGAGGAAAAGGGAGCCCGCCACGCTTGCTATTCAGGAGTTCGGTTGTGGATCAAAGACTCGATTGCGATAAAACTTTGTCAACTTATTGCTTGCACTTGCGCGAATGTTACAGGCATAGTTGAATGGAAAAGTGCATATGTTGTTAATGTCGTTATGCCTAATGTTAATTATTTTAGTTAGAAAGTGAATTACGTTGACCGGGGATTGTGGGGTGGAAACTTAGCAAAGCAGGGCAAGGGCGGGGCGGGGCGAGGCAGGGTGAGGCGGGCCGAGGGTGCGGCGGCGGGTAATGCTCTTGGACTGGCAGGGGGATCGGGGGGATCGTGTGTGACAGCATCGGGCTGGTCGGGGCAGTTCTGGGAAGAGTGGAGATATACTAAAATAGATTGAAGTATGCAAAACAGGGCTGCAATAAACAGAATTCCTTTTCATTTCTAATAGTTAATTTCTAATTGTTAAATGAAAACTCGAACTAACCGAGGTATTTTATTTTGATATTAACATATTACAATACTTCTTCAATGCTTTTAATGTAAGTTTGAGTGCACATGTACTTTGTTTTTCCTATAAACATGAGAAGAAAATGCAGTTATTGGTTTTAGTACGAAGCAAATCTGTTGCTATATCACGTGCGCCAGATATCAAATAGATGATTGTGATCAACGCCGGCGCAAAGCCATGTTTCCTAGAGAAGTAATAATATACTGTTGTTTGGTAATATGGGAGTATTTCCTTAGCAAGGTTTAAAAGTTTATTTATTTCTGTATTATCTTTTTTTTCAGTTACGTTTTCCTTGTGCCTGAGTGTCACACTTTTGTGTTATATATTTTCTCTAGTTCTGTACTGTATAATACTTCTTTCAATAATAAAAAAAGGGTCTCATTTGGTAGACCTTTTTCTTCAAGAGTTAGAGATTTTGTTTTTGAACTCTGCTCCGCCCAAATTTTTGTTTTCGTTTATTAAAAATGTATGTCAGTAAGAGCACAATATACTGAATTCAATTGCAGCTATTCCATTTTCATTAAAACTTTTGGAATTTTCAAAAATTAATTAATATGAATTGACAAAATAAATTAATTTTAAGTTATTAATTTTAGAGCCTCAGGGTATCGTTTCGTTAAAAAAATTTGAAGAGAAAAGTGTTAATAGGGTTAATGGTGAAATGATTTATTCATTATAATACGAGAAAGTAAATCCTGTTTTATACACCACTGGTGTCATATGCGTTGTCTCCCATGTTTCCTCGCCCATCATGATGGGTAACTAACACATACATTGTGGGAACATGCACACCACGCCGACAGCGAAACATGATCGTAGTGAGTTTCTTGAATGAGTCCGAAATGTTGATGAAGTATTCGGCCGAGACACTTCGTATGTGGATGATACTGCAGTGACATAGCTCGCGTGGCGTTTCAACACATTGGCCACTCCGGGAGGAGTGCATATACACGGGATCTTGTTATCGACCGTGTTTGTACTGCCGTTGGGGGACGAACTGCGACATACATTCACGGATCCATTAGAATTGTTCAACATTGCCTAGGCGGAATTACCCCTTAATCCCTTTTTTAAAGAGATATTGGTATCAACATTAATTTTCATGGAGGCAATGTCAGTCATAGAACTATGTCAAGCAGCCAAAAATATACAGATTTATAAGTTTTATAAACAGTTTTTTTATATCAGTTAAATAAATATATCGTCAATAAAAATTTTGACATCATTCAACGTTACATGTCAATTTAATTTTATATCAATGATTTGTTTTTTCCAGCTTGCGTGCATATTCGATGTCGATATGAATGCTACAATTTCACGAATTCCAACGTTTTACTTACAAACGCCACAACAAATGGTATATTATAGTCTACACTTCGAGCCTCCTGCAACTAAGAATACCCGATACGCCATTAAGGTTTTCTGTCCTGTAGTATTTCATCGACCCCGTTACAAACTACTTTTGCCACCTAATTTACTTGCATGCTCGAACCGTCACGCAGCTTTACTAACACTTCTGACAAACTTCACGAAATCTAGAAGAGCGATTGGCTAGCAGCATCTAAAGCATGCCAGAGCCCCCAGGAACGACCACTTTGCATCGAGGAGACTGGTGAAACCCCATTTCAGAAGCCTGCCGCAGAGAGTGTCCTTGCGAACGCCGTCTTGTGATCCTTGTTAATTAAAATGCTATACTATATAACATTACTTCCACTAATATCAGTACTATTTTCTAACATATACTATTACCCTTACATTTGAAAAGATATTCTCTACAAAAT